CTAGCGTGGTGATACGTGCCTGTGTTGCCAGTGCTGGGGAGACTGAGACAGGAGGATCACTATGAATCCAAGATGTGCAGTGAGACCCTGCACCAAAAAGATTTAAAAGAAAATTTTAAAAACTAGTGGAACAACCTGATAATTATGATGAAGTCTGTAGGAATACACATCATAACATTTTACAAAACAGGAATACCTAAGAATGCCAGTTATAAATAGTGTTCACATATAGCAAAATTTTCCCATATGATGGTTTTGTTTAGTGGAAAATAGTAACAAATATAAAATAGTGACAAAGAGTATAAAATAGTGACCAATCAGGAAAATTTATGTATGTGAAATTAGTGTGATATTTCCTTTGTGGAAGTGGGAAAGTTTAACTGTGTAAGGGAATGTACAATGAATCTTCAACTGTGGCCTTACAGTTTCCTACAAAACAGTATTTAAAGAAAGCATGGTGAATGCACAACATTTTCATTGTTGACTAGGGTTAGATGACATTTCAAGGTTTTTTGCAGTTTCTATCAGGCATGTAAAATGTATTGGGAAGATTTACAAAACTGTGCAGGTTCCATTAAATTTAAAATTTTCCTTGTAGAATTTTAGATGGATTTCATTAAGTTATTCATAACATTTGCAAATTGTGGCTAATTTAAAAATATTTTTCTTGTTACATATCATATGCTGATCCTTTGTGAATATTGGTATCATAATATTTTTCCTTTCTACTTAATCAAAATTCTCAAGGTTGGGATGAACATACATTCTTTTTATTTTTTTAAGACATATTCATTCAGCATCATGATTAAACTATTACATTTAGCAATCAACAACATGGGTGCCAAAAAGAGTTTTACATTAAAACCCTTTGTTGGAATGCTTTACACTTTCCATAGCACAGAAACTAAAATAATCTCTTATGCAATTAGTCACAAATACAGTGTTTGAGCTTTTTGCCCATATACATGAGTATTGTCTAAAACATGTCTTCCTTGTAGCAGCTAGGCCATGCCATCACTGTACTTGGCTGAGTTCACAAATCTGTTGTAACCTGTAGCTTCCTAATCATTTCTCTGGCTGTCCTCTCCTGCTAAGCTTTGTTTCCTGGAGGTGTTCAAAACCTTCTGCCATAGCTACTGCTGTTGCTGGAGCAACCATAGCCACCTTGATTTCATGTCTTGGTAAAATACTGGCCTCCACCACCACAGGGCCCAGAGCTTCTCTATCCACAGTTTCTTCCCTTCATGGGTCCAAATTTGAAGATTGACTGTTGTAATTGCCAAATTCATTATACCTTCTTCCACCTCCATAATTGCTTCCATTATTACCAAATCCATTGTAGCCATCTCCACTGCTACCATATACACCCCTGCCACAGCTGCCACCTAAGCCACCTTGACCACTGGAGATTCCTCACTGAAATTGTCACTGCCACAAAAACCACCTCCACGACCACCATCAAAATTTCCAGAACCACTTCAACCTCTTTGGCTTGATGAAGCACTAGCCATCTCCTGCTTGGACAGGGCTTTCCTCACTTCACAGTTGTGGCCATTCACAGTGTGTTATTTTTAAATGACAGTCTTACCCACAGAACCATGGTCATCAAAGGTTACAAAAGCAAAGCCCCTCTTCTTTCCAATGCCTTGGTCAGTCATAATTTCAATCACTTCATTTTTACATATTGTTCAAAATAACCTCATAGCTGATGTTCTTCAGTATCTTCTTTAATGCCACCCACAAAGACCTTCTTCAACATTAAGTGGAGACCTTGTCTTTGAGAATCTTCTCTTGAGACAGCTCTCCTTGGTTCCACAACTCTTCTGTTCACTTTGTGTGGCCTTGCCTTCATGGCTGCATCAACCTCCTCCACAGTGGCATATGTGGCAAACCCAAAGCCCCTGGAATGCTTGGTGTTGGGTCTCTAATTACCACACAGTCTGTGAGTGTTCCTCATTGTTCAAAACGGTTTCTCAGACTCTCAGTTGTTTCAAAGCTCAGCTCTCCAATGAAGAACTTCCATAGCTGTTCGGGCTCCTTGGGAGACTCCAACTTAGATGTGATAGCATTCGGAAGACAGGCTGATGATGCTTCCTCCATGCTGTCCACTAGCAGAAAGGAATAAGCTACTCAGCGTACTTCAGAACATACATTTTTTATCACAGATATTAGTATTCCTCATGATGGAGATTTTTTGTTTTTCTTTTGTGTTTCCTCAATCACTGCAAGCCATCACTTTCTTCTGGTGGGAGAAAAGTGTCATGTGCTGTTGTTCGTGGAATATCCTTTCACATGTGAGCAAATATACACACATTCACACATACACAGACACAAGATCAGAGAAGTGATTATGTGTATGCACTACACATAAGTATGCTGGGTAATCATGCCCTACTCATTTATCATCCTTGAAACACTGCCATAAAGATTTTAGCCCTGAGATTCTTGAGGCATAATTACAGAATGTAAATTATTTCTTTAACATATATAAAGTGTGTCTCTCAAAAAGCACACACCATCATAAGATCACTGTGCCATAGTTAATGAGCACACCCATTTGGTAGTTTTCATTATATACATGAAAAACATCCATCTGAAGATTTGTCCCCATCCTAAAAGCAACCCTTCAGTGCTGGATTAAATTCAGAGCCTAGTATTCTCCTCCTACATTGAATGACCACTGCTGACATAGCTGGTTTTATTTTCCCCATTAGAGAAAAATAAATCTGTATTTAAATTCATGTTAGGAAGTGTAACTGGAACAGGCAAATAGCACAGCAGATTAAAGCACCTACAAATAAGCGCAGGAGCCGGGGGTTCAATCCCCAGGCCGGCCATGCCACCCTGCCCCCAGGGTGTGCTGAGACAGCAATGGAGACTGGGCGTGGTGGCGTACACCTGATATCCCAGCTCTTGGGAGGCTGTAAACAGGTGGATCACTATGAGTCTGATCTAGTAGTGAGACCTTGAACACCCTGAAGACCCTTCTCTAAAATACAAAAAAAAAGAAAGAAGAAAGAAAGAAAGAAGAAAGAAAGAAAGAAAGAAAAAGAAAGAAAGAAAGAAAGAAAGAAGAAAGAAAGAAAGAAAGAAAGAAAGAAAGAAAGAAAGAAAGAAAGAAAGAAAGAAAGAAAGAGGAAGCCTGACTATTTTATTTTGTTAGATTCTTTCTCCTAGGGAGAAAAGATTTTTTATTTTTGTCTTTTCCATATGAGGTGCTATGTTTCATTCTTCATTTCATTTAGCTATAGGTTTGGTGCCTTTCCAATTGTACATAATTGTATATTTCATAACTCAATAAGGAAAGTCGTTCCCCTAGGGTAGGGAAGAATGTGTCAATAGAGTTACACAGCTCCTCTTTGAATTATTGCTAAACAGATCATTTGTGCTTCCTGAGGAGAGTTTAATGTGTTTAGGGTAACAAGGTGATATTTTCTAGTCATTGTTCATGTTACCTGCATCACTGTCCTCCACCTGCCACAATTCCCATAATGCACACAGTTGACACACTTTGAAAGCAGTGGAAGGTGTGGAGATTTTAACAATAAACTATTACAATTGCAAAGATAATAATGAGGACTATATAAATATTTAAGATCACTAATCTGTACTATCCAGGAGGAGCATTAGCAGAGATTAGTCAAGAGAGGCAAACCAACACTCTGACAACCAGAGCTACAAAATAGCTTTTTCCAAACAGTGTGCATATTTTGTACATGATATGTCCTCAATATTAAATAGGCTACAGCATAAATTGCCGTAGGTATTAATTGACAAGAGATCAAGAGCTGGGGAGATAGTTCAGCAGCATAAGCACCTGTCTGGAAAGTGCAAGGCTCTGAGTTGGATCCCCGGTATTGAAGAAAAAAAAAATCAAGAGGTTTGCCAAAGTTAGAGATCGTTGCTCCAGAACAGAGTTCCCAGGGCTGGGCCAGAATCTTCCATCAACTGTTACCACACAATGAGAGATGAATAGCAGGCAAATGATTGAAGCTTCAACTTCATTTTAAACCACTGGCCATGGCTTACATCAACACTGGGCTCTGCCTCCTGAGGAGCAGTGGCATTAGCTTTCCACAGAAACTAGGACCCTGCTGTGATTTTCTCATGCCACAGACCTAGGTTTCTTTCTCTGTAAGAGAATCGAATGCCTGATGATGTCAGGTAGAGTCAAAGTGCTGATGCTAGTGCTGTGGAATGGAGAGAATTAAGGACTGAAATTACCAGGAAGGCTCAGCTGCACATAGACCTTAATAAGGTCTATGAGTAGAAAATGACAAAGTACATTTGACGACAGCTTTTAAGACAGAATCCAGCTCCTAGTTTACTCTGCCAGAAGCCTGTCCATTATTCTTTTACTATTCTGAATGATGGCAAACATACAATTATTTCATTATATGTTATAGTGCAATATGATTGAGCTATACAATAGAAGTAACATCACAGAATCATCTAACACTATGATCCCCCAAATCTGAGCATAAATTTTCCTCCATGAAACTTGTACCTGGCTCTACAATGATGGAGGACTTCTACTGTACAAGATAGAATACGTACGTTCATTTTCACATTGCTTTTGGTTTCAGGGCAGGGATTAATTGCAAAAATAATAATAAAACCTTCTGTCTTCTGTTGCTTTGAAATTTCAGGATTTACTTTAATTCTGAAATATTGCATAGGTTCTAAAAAGGAGTTAGAAAAAAAAAAGAAACAAAAATGGGGGAGACAAGGATCAGGAAAAAGACCTGAATATTTATGTGACTTTAACATGCAAAGCAAAAGGAATTTTTTATTGTAAGACACAGTGAAAACACTTTAGAAATATTAATTATATCTAGTGTAAATGCTAGACATACAGCGTTAGTTTTCATTTCTATATGATGCATAACAAATATCCACAGTGGCATCAATAATTTCGATTCTATCATCCTCAAGAGATATGACTGGCCACCCAAAAATAACTTATTTTATTTTTACACTATCTTTCCCATAGATTGATTAATAACATGAGATTCAAAAACCATACAGATATTTCAGAATTTCTTCTTGTGGGACTGACAGCAGATCCAGAACTTCAGAGCCTCATCTTCAGCTTGTTCCTGGCCATGTACCTGGTCACCATTGTGGGAAACCTGCTCATTCTCTTGGTTGTCAGCTCTGACCCCCACCTACACACCCCCATGTACTTCTTCCTCTCTAACCTGTCCCTCACTGACATCTGTATTAGTACCACCACAATCCCCAAGATGCTGGTGAACATGCAAACACGGGACCAGAGCATCACTTACGCAGGCTGCTTCATTCAGATGACCTTGGCAGTGACTCTAGGAGGTGTGGAAAATTGTCTCCTTGCTGTAATGGCCTATGACCACTTTGTGGCCATTTGCCAGCCCCTGCAGTATAGGCTCATCCTGACCCCATTCTTCTGTGTTCTACTGGTTGCTTTCTCCATGCTCCTCAGCACTGGGCATGCCCTGCTCCACACTCTGATGGCACTGCGGCTGCTCTTCTGCACAAATGTGAAAATCCCACATTTCTTTTGTGAACTCGCACAGGTCATCAAGTTCACCTGTTCTGATAACTATGTAAATACTCTTCTGATCTATGTAGTAGGAAACATATTTTTTGGTGTTCCCATTGCTGGAATTATTTTCTCTTACACTAAGATTGTCTTCTCTATTTTAAAGATGTCATCCATTGGGGGAAGAAGGTACAAGGCTTTTTCCACCTGTGGGGCTCATCTCTCTGTGGTTTTCCTATTCTACAGCACAGGTTTTGGTGTGTACTTGAGTTCTGCAGTTACTGACTCTACTGCTAAGAATGCGGTGGCTTCAGTGATGTACATTGTGGTTCCTCAGGTGATGAACCCCTTTATCTACAGTTGGAGGAACAGGGAGATGAAGACAGCTCTGAGGCTTCTCATTACTAGGAAACCATTTATATTATTGTGTCCTTTTCTTGGAGCCTGAGTTTCTTGAATGTGACAGTGTAGCAAGAATACAGGTAACCAGAGAGAGATCCTGACTGTTAGGACATAATGTCTATGTTTTACCTGTTTGCAAACCTTTGTCTTATCCAATTGTGTGGTTTGAAATGATACAAGGACTGAACTCCATTGTGTTGCTCTGACCTCTTCAAACAAAAGCAGGTAGTAGGGCCTCAATTTTAGCAATTATTTGTGGGACAATTTCATGAACTGTTGGGGAACTTGGATAGAGGAGAGTTAGGTATAAAGAAGATTGTGCTAGTATTAGACAGGAGGTCATACATGATTCTGTAACTTGACCTTTGTGTTTTATAGAACTGCACTTCTATGCATGTTTAAATAATCCCTGATTTTTACCCATGGCCAATGTGTGCTTCAGAGGTCGTACTAACATCTCCCTTACTCAGATTTACCATTTACTCAATTCATACTTACATAGTATCAACTTCTTGAGGTGTTGAGATATTTGTGAGTTTGAATTTTTGCGTTTACACTAATGCTCTTGGCTCATAAGTGGTGCAATTGTCCATTATTATGATTTCACAAACACAAGTTGTTATTGAGCAGTGTTTCACTAAGCCCTGGATAACATGGCCCCTTCTTAACCTTGTTTGTGGTGCAACCACTGACCATTTTTATTGAAAATATTAAATATTATTGAAATATTAGTGTTTGATATGAAGATATTGTTTTTTCTGTTTAACTGAAATTGTTTCTTGACTGAGTTCAAGTCTACACAATGATCTCAAAACACTGTAGCTTCTACTGAGGCCAAGGTCTTTTTGACGATGTCCTAGAGTATGGGGCATGTTGTATTGTTTCAAAAAATGTGTTTTTGAGAAAATGGTACTAACTGCTTCAGAAGCAATATCTATTGCTTTATCTACAGTAAGAATAACACCATCATACAAAACTAATGGAAATTGTTTTCTAAATATTCATAAATATGACAAAAGCTCTGTTTGAAAAACACCAAGCTCTTCCCCTTTCACCTATCCTAGTGTTTTCCTTTTGAACAATTTCTTCTCATTTCACAGTATCTATTGTATATGTTAAACTCATTTACTTTTTAAGTTTCTCACAACAAAGGCAGTAGGGAAAAGGGGAAAAATACAAGTCAGTTATGCTATTAATGTCTGTTATCTCATGAAAAGGAACCTTTGTGCTATTACGTATTGGATTTTATGCCCATATCATGTATCCTGAGCAACTATTTTAAAGATAACATGTAATTTGCTTTGTTAGTCTATGATTTTATGAATTTTTGTTTTACCTGTTTTATTTGAAAAAAACCCACTAAGCTATTAAACTTTTTCCAGCTTTTCATATTTAAATAGTGCACAAATGAATTGCTATAATTAGAACCAGGTTCTACTTCTCTGGTACCTGAAGGAAGAAATTGTTTTTTGGAAAAATATAAACCACATGTCCAAAGCACAGAGCTAGATGAAAGAAAATATTCTGACTAAAGTCAAGAGAAAACAAAATTAGGTCACTATATTTATCATGCAGCAGACTGTCATGACAGATAAAGGATGAAATAAAATGTTCAGAGAGATTACAGGAGACACTAATAAAAACCAAGTGAGGTAAAATAATACAATTATGAATGAATAGCTTGGCACATATTTAGAACAAATGTTCAGAAGTAAGATATAGTTTGAAAATTATACTGTACATACAGGGAGCAGTAGTGAATAGCACTAGGACAAAATAGCAGAATTAGGAGATAGGGATGCCTTCAAAGACAGTTCCTTAGAGACACATTCAAAACAATAAGAAGACAGGAAGAAGGGATCCAATACTTACTAGATGATGCAACAAAGACCAATTTGCATTTAATTAGAATAAGTGAAACATCAGTGAAATGTCAGAAGAGAAAAAAAGGGCAGGCATAACATCCAGTTTGCAGATACAATTTTTAAAAATGTATTTGGTACAAGATCTCACTATGCAGCTTGGACTTACAGTGATCCTCCTGTTTTCAGCCTCCCCATCAATGAGATTACAGGTGTGTGCCACCATGCCCAGCCTCAGTGGCCAGCTCAGCATGCCCAGGGGCAAGGCCAGAGCTGTCTATGGTGCAGGGGATTGAACCCCAGTCTATGTGCTTGCCTAAGCAGGCACTTAGTCCACTGAGCTATCATGCTGGTTGTTTGCAGTTATAGTATTAGAAAGCTTTTCAGGTATTTGGAAATGCTTTGACATACAGATATGAGGCAAATAAAACTCCAAAAAGCTATGAAGAAATGCCAACCTTGCTACATCTCATTTTAGTCAAACTCTCAGAGTGTGCTACAAGGAATGTGAATAGGTGTTGGAAAAAAGCAGTGAATCACTAAGAAATGTAAATTCATTAGAATTACAGCAGCTAGGGCTGGAGAGAGAGCTCAGTAGAATAAGTACTTACCTGGCAAACACAAGGTCCTGAATTCAATCACCAGTATTGAAAAAAAATTACAGGAGCTCTCTCAACACAAAAAATGAACAGGAGTGCTTGGAGCCAAGTGCTCAGGACTGAAAGATAACAACTTGCAACAGAGATATTCAGTTTTCAAAATTGTATGTTAAATAAATGGAGAAATAGGACATTTTCATGACAAACAGTGCAGCAAGAAATTTGTAACTACCAAGTTAGCACTACAGTCTGAAGAGTATCCCAAAAAGATATAATGAAGCTAATGATGACAGAACAGCTAATAAAATAAATACAGTAGACAGAGTGAGCAGTTTAACAGACAAGAGAGAAAAAAAAGTAAATCAGCAACAGAAAAATAAGTTCAAGACGGTAAGTAGTTAATATCTTTTGTAATTACTTTCAATGCCCATGGTAACAATTTAATGCAAATCTTATCAAACTTCCAACAGAATATCTCAACAAGTTAGAGAAAACAATTCTAAAATTCATTTTGAACCAAAAGAGACTGAGAATAGAAAAGGCAATTCTGGGTAACAAATGCAAAGCAAGGGGCATCATCATGGTCACTGACTTGAAAATAAATAATAGAGCTACTGTGATAAAACCAGCATAGCACTGGAAAAAAAACAAAAAAACAAAAAACCAAAAAACCACACCTGAGGGTCAGTGGAACAGATCAGAAGATGAAGACATAACTACAAACACACTCAGCCATCTTATCTTTGACAAGAAGGCCAAACATGTTCACTGGAAGAAAGATAGCCTCTTTAAAAATGGTGCTGGACAAACTGACTTTCCACAAGCCAAAAATTAAAATTAGACCCATTATCATTCATCATGCACTAAACTAAAATCAAAATAGATAAAAGATTGAAATATTTAAGCAGAAATGTTAAATCTCCTGGAAGATAGAATTGGTCAAAACTCTTGAAGACAATATGGTAGACAAAGACTATGAATAAAACCACAATCCCAGAGGAACTATTACGAAAATCAATAACTGGGATCTCATCTTCTTAGAAAGCTTTTTCACAGCAAGAGAAACCAACCATGCAGTGAAAACACAGCCCACAATCTGTGAAAATGCTTGCCAGCTATTCTTCAAAGGATTAATATAAAAAATATAAATAACTCAAAATAAATCAGACTTCCAAAATTTATCGATCCACAAGATTATGGGGCCACAGAGGAAAGTGATCGATGATATAGTGTGTGCAGAAGGAGAGTCACATGGAGAGAAAACATTCTCTCAGGCTTTCACAGAGAGCAAATTGGTCAGGCAATGGCCATGACTCATCCACATGGCTGACACTGACAAAGGTTCTACAATCGGAGGTAGAGGATCTCAGGATAAATCCTGAGGGGATTTGACTGATCTTGTCAGATATAAAAGTTATATTTTACTATATAGGTCTTGCTTTATCTTGATGTTAACCATCTATCCATAAAATATAAACACGAGTTATAAAAAGTAAAGCTACATTAATATGCTGAGCTGTACAAGGCTCAAGTCAACGACTTCTGACACTGCCAGTCCTGAGGGTAACCCACTGCCATTATGGACTACTGGACTATATTGGATTACTTTGCTGAATTCAAGCACCTACAAAATTTGAATGGCAATGGAATACCCATCTCTTACAAAAAGGGTGATATAAATGAAGGACCATTTTGTAGTGAAAAAATATATATATATATATCTGTATATACAAAATAGAATATACAGCCACTTACTGTTAGTTCAGTAGATTTGTACTAATAGAGTTTAGACAAGATATCATGTCTGTATCTTGTACTATGAATATCTATTATGAAGACAATATGCAATTAATTATTGTAACTGTCCTGCTATCTTCTCTCATTGCTAGTTCTTTCTCAATAAAATAAAAAATAAAATAAAAAAATAAATTTAGCCATCTAATCCAATCATGGGATCTGAGATGGATACATACTTCTCAGATGAAAAACATATGAACAGAAAACAAATATATGAAGCAATGGTCAGTATTGCTGGTCATCTGTGAGATGCAAATTATAACACTGAGAATCCATCTCACACTGGAAAGAATGGCTACCATGAAGAAATCAACCAAGAACACATGCTGCAGGGCATGAGGGAGAAAAGAATCCTTCTCCAGTGTTCATGGGAGTGTAAAGTGATGTAGCCACTGTGGAACTCAGTGTGATTTCTCAAAACACTAAGATTAGACACCCCACTTGACCCAGCTACTCCCCTTTGAGTATCTTTCCAGAAGAGTTAAGAGCAGACTACAGCAATAAATGTGCACCTGTATTTATCACAGTGCAATTTGTCACAGCTAAATCTTACAAACAGCCCAAAAGCCCATCAACTGAGAAACACAAGATGGTGTGAATGTTTTTATAACATAGAGTACTCGTCCGCAATAAGGATAAACTTGAGACTTTTATAAGTGAACGGACACCTTAGAACACAGTTATAAGGAAATGAAATCAGACCTGCATGTATAAACATTGTACTGTCTTACTAATGAGTGAAGCTAAGTGGGTACATAAGGTTTAGATTTTTAAAAAATGTATTTTAG